AGTATAAACAAGTACGGTGACAATGGATCGCCTTGCCTCAAGCTAATCTCGGAGTAATATGGCCAAGTTCTGCCAATTGAAACAAACTTGATAGGTAAGTTCACCCACGTATGATCAAAATCGAATTTGAGCAAAACTGCTTCCAAGTATTCTCATCTAACGCGATCATAAGCCTTACTAATGCCTATTTTCATAGAAACTTCAACTTTTTTCCTCTTGTTTTTAATTTTCATATAGTGAATTATCTCAAAGGCCAACAATATATTATCTGCCATACTCCTCCTAGGAATAAAAGCTGACTGGCATTCTAAGATGATATCCGACAGATACTTCCTCAATCGATTAGTTAGGAATTTAAAGAATATTTTGTATATCACATTACATAGTGGAATGAGTCTCAAATTCGTTATACTTGACGAGCTCTCTTTGTGGATGAGAACAATGTTTGTATCATTTAAGTCTAACGACAACTTGCCTGTTTGGAACCAGTTCATACAATTAGCAATAATATTCTGACCAATCATCCCTCAGAATTTTTTATAAGTGCATATGAAAAGCTGCTTCCTCCGTCACCATTAGCGATTTTCTTAATTCTTCATTGGCCCCCTGCTGACACCATGGTCTCAATCTGCACGACCACTGGTTCCCAATTACCAGGCGTACTTATGAAAAGAGTTGTGAAGTACTGACACACATGTTCATGGAGGGTATTCTCATCCCTGATCCATACCCCTTAAGCATCTTTCAGAGCTGTAATTTGGTTCCATCTTTTATATTGCGACATCTGGCAATGAAAATACTTTGAATTGTGATCACCATGCGTCAGCCATAATTTTTTTTTCCTTTACCACCAAAAGACTTTTTCCTGTTCTAACAAGTATAAATACTGATTGTTCAATGAGACCAGTCTATCTGCATCCACCTTAGGCCTTTATTTTTTAACCCATAATAATTGGGCATACAAGTGGCTGTTGCATTTATCGAAATCACATACCATATTCTCACCCTAGTCTAGCAACTGTCTCCCATAGGTTTCAATTTTTTGCATGAGATCTTCGCTCTCTCTTGACTTCCAGCCCTGTTTCACAACCTCATCCACTTCTGGATTCAGTAGCCAAACATTCTTAAAGCGAAATTTTTTGTGAGCTTGTCCCTATTCCTCCTGTTACATATCAAGAGAAGAGGTTGAGTGATCAAACACCAGTGCTATGTGATTTTCCAACCTCGGGTAAAGACAAACATTTGACCATACATCATTGACAACGCATTGATCAAGTCTTTCGCGAATCATAGTCCTCACCATGTTCCTCAACCAAGTATATGCATAACTGGAGAGTGGGACATTTGCCAGATGACATTGCTCAAGAGTGTCCCGAAAGCTTGACATAAGTGACTAGAACGAAACACCTCCTCCCTCCTCCTCTACGGTAAGAATATCGTTAAAGTCACCAATTACCACCCAAGTCCCATTCGTGCTCGTCGTTAACTGCCTTAGGATTTGCTAAGATTCCCTCCTCTGATGGCATTATGGGATACCATAAAATCCAATTAGTAACGAGGTGCCTACATCCAGGTCATCAACTTTCAGATTGGCGTGATTTTATGAAAATGACAAAACGAACATATTGTAGATGTCTGACCAAAACATCGCTAAACAACCCTCCAGTCCAAGCCGGTCTACACTAAATATATGCTGATATCTTAGTGTCATACGAATCGTTCCAACTTCTCTTGTGTCACTAAAGTTTCGGTTAAAAACATTATCTCTAGTCGAAATTTCCTCACTAGCTTCTGAAAAACTAGCACTGCCCGAGGTTTACTAAGCCTTTGGCAGTTCTAACTAAATATCGCCATGGCTTCCGGCGAGCCTACTCTGCAGGTTTCACCGATCTCTCATTTTGTTTCCACTATACCTACTCAGTTTCCTCTCTCGAAGTAACCTCTGCTGAATCTGGCTCGTACACCATGTTTTGGCGGGGTCATTTTTTGCCATCATCTTGGGCCATACAGTATCTTCAACTCTGAACGTGTGGGCCCTTCTGCTCTGAAGGCCCAAAGCCTCATCCACATCCTGGCCCACAAGCGCATCATGATCCATATACTCCACTCCAGGCTTTCCGCTCACTTTCAAATTCTCATATCCCACGGGATGCGGAGGAATTGAATTTTGAAAAGGTTACAGATACATCCAGTTATTCTCCGCAATTCTCCCGATTTGCGCCTCGGATCCTGGAAATATCTCGCCTGTTTCATCTCTTAGCCAGTAGTTAGTTAGAAGTGAGTTCTAACGAGGGTTTGTTCTAAGCAAGTCATCTCATTCCCATTTCATGGTTCCCGCTTGAGGATGAAGAAGTAACTTGCAAAAAACTTTCTGAGTGTCCCAGCGGACTACATAAGTAGCAGAAAACCGAAAGGCATTTATATTTAAACATGACATTTATTGAATTTCCATCCCTCAAAATAAATTTTTTCTGTCGAAAAATCAGTTTTCGTACGTCCACTACCACCTTTATATGCATGAACCCCATACGGCTAGAGTTGGGATGGGTGTCATACTCGATAAACATTCCCAATACCATCCTAAACTATCTCGTCATCGATTCCATGTAGCATCTCGTCAGCAAGTGGTAACTTGCACTAAGAACAAGCTAAGATTAATATCTATTTGAATAGGGTCCTCTCTTTCCAAGAGTTGATGCCAAACCAACAAATGATTGTTAAATGTCAACGAACTCCCATTCATGAACTGTTGATTGTCCACTTCATAAAAAAATCAGAACAATTATCGACTGGCTCCCACCTCTTTATACTAACTCCTCCTGACGATCTCCAGACATCCACTAGAGTATTCTGCATAGGTTCGAATTTAATCACAACATCAATCAAAAACTGTCCCACCAGACACATCTCATAAGTCTTCTTCTGATCAGGGGCCACCTCAGCAATCTTTCAACCACCCTCTTCAGCATCAGTAATGGTAGGGGCAGCCATGTGCTCTTTGGTGTCCACGATGGTCGTCGCAGTTTCCAATCTAGGGTAACAGTAACTCGTGCCAAAGGGCAGACATCATTACGTGCCAAAAGGCAGACATTCTTAATAGAAATTAAAATTTTAATATCTACATAAAATCAAATTTTATATTGTATGAGATGTTACAAAATCTATGTCTTAAATTTATTTGATCACTTTAAGAAGATATAACTTTTATAATAACATATAATATACAATTATTATTAAATATATGTGATCTTACTAATATATGATTCTTGATTATATATAACAGAAAATTTAGAATTAATAATTATAACTACATGATATATATTAAATTAAAATTTATTTAAAACTTAATGATCTAAATCACATTATGTAATTATTTTGCTAATAAAATCTTAATAAATAATTCAATGTTAAAAAACCTTCAAACTTGTAAGTTTTTTCCTTTTTGGAGGAATAACTTATTTAAGTTTGAAGTCCAAAAGCATTTTGGTATTAAATTATATACAACATGTGATTATACAACGAATTAAATCTTTGCTTTTTTATTAAAGAATACTAATAAAAAATTAACCTTCACACACACACACACACAAAAAAAAAAAAAAATTATTTCTTAATTTTTTTTATTATTCACACGTGCATTTACCAAATACAATATAATAATATTTAATGCAGAAAATCTGATGCCCACAAAATAAAAATAAAAAAATATATAAAAAGATGAGCTTGGGTGGGTACCAAGATTCATCGGTGTTGGCGGATAGTGCAGACTTGCTCAAATGTCTCTTCTTTTTAATACCCCAAAAAATTTCAGACTCCGTTCTCTAACTCTTTCCCCTTCTTCTCCTTCCTTCTCCTCTCCCAAATCCCTTCTTCCCTTTCTCTCTCCCGCGTCTGCCTCTCCTAGACGCTTTCCCTCTTTCTTCTCAACCAGAGCATCACTCTCTTCTCCCGCCTCCGCCACTACCATGGGTGATGCTACTGATGCTGCCATGGATGCTGTTCAGAGACGCCTTATGTTCGAAGACGAGTACGTTTTTCTCTTCTGTTTTTCCAATTTATACGATTCTTCTTATTCCGGATACGACTTTAACCTCCATTTCACCTTTTTCCTTTTGGTTAAAGAGAAAAATGCATGAAAGGATGATCAAAGATGGGATCTCGTAATTTGTGTCTGTTATCTGTTAGCTCCTGTCAACGGCCATTTCCAACATTAATAGTTTTGTTTTTCATTTTCATTTATTGGGAATCTAACACAGATCTGGAGTTTTCTGTTCGTGATTGATTTCGTTATTATGATCACGTGTGTTAAGTACGTATGTCTGGACACGTATACCTCTGTGTATATATTAAGTGCGTGCTTAGATATGGTTCTGCCGGACATTTTTCACTTTGGATTGAAAAGTGTACTTGTTTTTATGTTCATATTTCTTCGAAGATAAGATAGCATTTTCATTAGTTTAAGTCATGTGTAGTCATGGATGTGATACGTGAAATTATCTTGTCAAAAGTCGTGTTTTTATTACGTTTTATATAGTTCTAGCTATTGAGCAACTGTGCTCTCTTGTTAGGACTGAGAAATGGAACAAGATTTCAAAGAAAATTGAGGGTTGGACTAGAATTCTGGCAATGTTAGTTGCTGTTCATGCGATTCATTTATTAGCAAATATGACTTTATAAATTGATTGTTTTCCGTTACAAGTGTTACCATATTTATGTCTGGATTAGGTTAATAATGAAAAGCATGCTCTTGAAATGTGTGTTTTTTTTTTTCTTATATCCCGGGTTGCAAAACATGAAGGACACCTGTTCCTGTATATTTTCTTACTCTGGCTACTTTGTTATCTTTCAATCAGGGTAATTAGCAAAATGATTTCAAATGAAGCGGTCAACTTTACCTTAGTGGAGATTGAAGATCTTAAGATTTTTGCACCTACTATTTGAATCAAGCTAATTGACTGAAAATACAGTATTAAATAACTTAGGAGTATATCCTTCAGAAGTACTCACTGAGTGCTACTGTTGGTATCTGCTTGAAATTTTTTAAATTGATGCCTAAATAATTTCTTTCTCTTTTTGGTTGATCCTTTTTTTTAAAATGATAAGCTCAAGCAATGATACAGAACTTCTTGTAAACCGATGCCCAAATGTTTCATTTTGACCCAAGAGGTGTTTCGCAGAGGCTGAGCTCCTTCATGACTTGTTGAATCACAGTTGCTTTTGATTATTGTATATCTTTTAAAATTCATTCGCCAAATGTTATTTGGTTTCGCACGTTTGCAGTATTTTCTAAAATAGAAATTCCTTGCAGATGCATTCTAGTGGATGAAAATGATCATGTTGTTGGTCATGACACCAAATATAACTGTAAGTAAATATTTTATTTGTGATGTTCGTTGGGATGCATTATTATAGTGTTTAAAGGGACTAATGGAACGATGATGATACCATTTAAGGAATTTTCTTTTTCCTCTAGAACACACATATAGGTTAATCACATTTTTATTTATTTATTTCACAACTGATGTGGTATAATAACTATCCATGACTTGGTTATACAATTTTTGAAAAAGGAGTAGATTGTGATTGAAAAATTGCTGCTTATGTATATCTTGGTTCAGTGGTAATATTGCTTTCCGTTAACTTTCCTTCCTTATCTTTCCTGACTGATGATGTATACCTACTTTTAGGCATGACAGTCCTTGAGAAATTGTTGACTGTGAAAAGGTCTTGGTTTAAAAGTAATTTATTTGATAATCCTGTGATCTTGATATTTAAGTAATTTCCATTCTCCTTGTGGTTTTGTTACTGTCTATATTGGATGTGCTCAGTGCTGATCAAACAAGGGTTACAATTGGTTAACTGAAAACAGAGATGCATGGTATAGGAACATTTTATTTACCAATAATAAGGATTTAAAGTGGCCATCACATAAATGAGAATTCATTTGTTTCAAAACTATCAGAGTTTAGAAAAACAAAGTTCTTTTGTTAAAAAACCATATACAGAGTTTTTTCAAATTTAGTTTAAAAAAACAAAATCAATCATTTTCTAGCTTTTTTTTTTCTTTTATGTGCATTTGAGCTGTTCGTTGAAATATTGAAATTTAAGTTGTGGGTGCTTCTGAAAATATGCAAGGGTAGAAGAAGCATGGGGTCTTATTACATTTTCCCTCAACATTCTTCTTTCGTTTTCTAGAGCTTTAAACAGATAGTTTTATGGCCAAGAGATTGATCTCCGGTTATGTATCCATGTGATACTAATCTTTGTTTTTTGTCAAGGGGTAACTCCCTCTCCTTTGAGGAGGACTTTGGAAAATCATTTACGTTGTATTTGGTTTAAGCCTATTCTATTATCCTTGAATTTCTAGATTTTGATTATTCGATATATACAAGTTTATCATAATTTATATGTTTGATGCATTATTAAATTAACTCTCAGTCTATCTTCAATTTCACGAAGGTGAATTTGTATTTCCATTTGTCAATGGAGAAACGAAAAGAAAATCTAACTTGAATTAAATATGGAATTTATTGGCATTATTATGTAATTTTCATATGTTTTCATTCCTATTCTATGGGATTGAAATTTGAACCTAAATCGATCTTACAAATTGACTAGCTTGTAAGCCATTACGTAATATGTTCTATGCAGGTGTTCCCCCCTGGTTCCTTGTTTATAGATACTTCATTTCCTTCCAAATTATGATACTTAGATCCAAGTGTAAACCCATAATGTGTTTGTTGTTCAAATTGATTCTTATGGCCTGTTCAAACTTATCCAGTCCTATATTTGAATTGCTTTATATGGAGATGGATCATGATTTTCATATGTTATTCACAATTGGAACCATTTCTTTCTTATTGAATTCTAGAATGGTGGATTTCTATTCTCACTTGTCAAAGTTAGGGATTAGAAATGCCTCGAACTTGAGTTGAACTAAAAATTGATATAGAATTTGGGATTAATTTTTTTTCTTATTTCTAATGTATTTCTGTTTCTATTTCAAATAATTGACATTTGAACCAAACCAAACAGAACCTCAGATTGGGTGGCTGAAAAAGAAAATTGTTAGAGCCTTCTGCATGTCTTTGTAGGTTATAAGATAAAACAAGATAGAGTTTCTTATCCTTTGTATTTTATGGGGTTGTTGGCTTAAGTTCTTTGCAAATACTGGAAATTATGCTGGTGCTTTCTCCCTCTTATTTCATGTCATAAGGATGAAATTGATCTTCTCTTTTTCTTTTAATATTTGCCGGCTCGTCGCTCCTTGATGCTTTTGAAAATGTGCAGGCCACTTGATGGAAAAGATTGAATCTGAAAATTTGCTACATAGGGCTTTCAGTGTGTTTCTGTTTAACTCAAAATATGAGTTGCTCCTTCAGGTGATTGTTTTTAAATATTTATTTATGTAAAAGATTTTAAAGTCATCTATTTGCACTCTGTTTTGTGCATAATTTTGGTCCAGTCATATTTCATGTCAAGTATTTCAAATGTTGAACCACTTTCAGTGCGTTCTAGCTGCTTATGTTTGAAATAACTTTTTTCTTACAGAACTTATGTTTGAAGCAACTGTCTGAGTGGATTATGTTTAAAGACATTCATGAAACAAAATAAGAGATAATAAAGTTGCCTTTGTTGTGGATTATCCTATGGCTTATGTTGTGGCATCCTTATCTGTTATTAAGGCTAGAAGGGGAAGATATAAGTTGGGAAAGGAAAAGAAGATGTCACCATATTTGTGCTTATATATGGAAATTGTTGCAAGGTGCATTATGATGTGTTAAAATGAGGACCTTGTGAGTGAAACAACATCTAGACACATCTAAAAATGAGGGAAAATGCATGCTGCACACCCATTCTAAGAATATCTTGGGCTGTGCTATACACATTTGTCTATTGTTTCATTGATTAAAATGAATTAGATGTGGATATGTTAATATAGCATGTTTTATGTAAGTCGGGATGTATTGGTGTAGATGATTTCACTTAAGTGTAAAAGCTCAATTCAGTGGTAGGATTTTGGATGTTGCATGGTGTGTAAAAGCTTAACTTAGTGGCTGGAATATTCCTTTGCTATGTTGTTTGGACTAGGCATTTTAGCGCCATACACATGTTGACGTGATACAACTTTGAAATGGTTGTGAAATTTGTGTCTGAGTTTGATGTGTATGTCAAACAAGTCATTTTCCACGGAGAAGAAAGTTATTGTATTGTGGTTGCAGCATGCGATGGTTTGCCTCTTGTTTGACTATAATTTGATGGGTGTTTATTGTTTGTTGAGAGAGAGAAACGAGATGATGCACATGTATAGTATGCTTGATAGAGTAGCGAAGATAAAATTTAACGGACCAGGCTCAATAAGAAGTGTGAGAAAGAGAGGGAGAACTAGAAGGAAAGTGTCATGTAAATAGAATAAATGCAACAGACATCATGGCTAGACAGCCCTGAAGGCAATAGACTATGACAGATATGAAAGGATTAAAAAAACAACAAAGAAAAAGGTGGATAAGCTCGGGATTAGAATGATTCTGAAGGAAAGAAGCTTATTTTTATTTTGGCTGACTTAAAAGGCTAAAAAGTAACTTCATTTTACAGACCAAATTTGGGACAGTAACTGTAATAAGTGAAAAAAGATTCTATATTCATGCAACTTATAACTCTTGTCTGGTTTTTTTATTTTTATACATAAATTAGTTACAAGTTATTGTAGTTCACTCAAGAAGGAAGGATTATTTCTTTTTAACCATGATCATTGAAAATAATTTCATTGATTTATTTTATTATTTTTATCCACGTGTCAAGTACTTGTATTCAAATTTTAGACTCATTGACTGATCTCCCATTTATTTCACTATAGAAATTACCAAGTCAAACACTTAGAATTAATACCTGTAAGGACCGTGACTGATGTCTGATTCCTGCACCTGAGTCCGAGCAACATGGTTCTTTTAGGTCCAGCTGTTCGTCGTTGTGTGTCAGTTATATTGCATGTTAATTATCATCTTTGTGTACATTTATGGTGATAACATTTTGTTGCCTCTGGACAGCAACGGTCTGCAACAAAGGTAACTTTCCCACTTGTGTGGACAAACACCTGTTGTAGCCATCCTCTGTACCGGGAATCTGAGTTAATTGAGGAGAATGCCCTCGGTATCTAATATTATCTTTCTTTTTTTAGGCATTACTATTAGCCCAACTTACCTGCTGAAGGGGCTAGGTAGCTACTCATTTTCACCTATGATTTGATTTTACCTATCAGGTGTGAGGAATGCTGCACAAAGGAAGCTTCTGGATGAGCTTGGTATTCCTGCTGTAGATGTTCCAGTTGATCAATTCACCCCCTTGGGCCGCATGCTGTACAAGGCACCTTCTGATGGCAAGTGGGGAGAACATGAACGTAATAATTTCCATCTTTCTCTTTCCATAAATTTTACGCTTACTTTTCTTTGCTTTTCCTGTATCAAAATTGCTTCCTGTATCAAACTTTTGCTACATGTTAGCTTAATGGCACCACTTGGAAGTTTTAGTTGTTACCAGCATGTTACAGATAGTAGCTAGATTTGATTTGAGAATTGAGGATAGAGAAACAGGAGAATAATGATTGCCAGTGTATTTGTATATGTGAAGCCTGATTGTTGACTGTTGAATTGACAGTTGATTACCTGTTGTTCATTGTGCGAGATGTTAACGTCAATCCAAATCCCGATGAAGTTGCTGATATTAAGTATGTGAACCGGGATGAATTGAAGGAGTTGTTAAGAAAGGCAGATGCTGGTGAGGGGGGTATTAAGCTGTCACCATGGTTCAGATTAGTAGTGGACAATTTCTTGTTCAAGTGGTGGGATCATGTCGAGAAAGGAACCCTGAAAGATGCTGCTGACATGAAAACCATTCACGGGTTGACTTAAAAAAAAATTGTAGCATTTCCAGCTGCCGCCATCCGATTTAGCTTGGCAATCTGGACTGATGATGATGTTGTTATTCCTTTCATGCCTCTTCCGCTTATGAACTTTATTTGCTACAATTTTGCTATTTAAATGTCTTTAAAAACGCTTCTTTTGGGTTGGATGTAATATCATGGTTTTGAAATTCAATAATACAAATTTTCTTCATGCTTCAGAGTGGTGGATACTTTTTCTGGTAAGCTGGACTCCCATTGCTTAGTCCGTTGTTGAGAATACCGTTTCTACTTATGGTTCCATGTAACAGCCAATCCGTGAGCTTTTGACGGCATGGTAATTTTGCGGCTCATGACACGAATGCAAACAGCATCGAAAGTTTTTCATACATTACCCCAAGGCACTTGTCAATCAAGACATCTTTATGGAGAAACCTTTAATTCCAAAATCTCCTCTAAGTTAGGAGCTAAATAGGGTATGGTAGGATGATGTTTTCTTGTACACAACTGACTTAAAATTCTTAATTTCATTACATTTTAGTTTTGTTTAATGACATTTTGCCTTTTATCTCTAAATGAGGAAACTCTTTATTATTTCTAATGGTGTAGGAAGCAATATATATCTATGCAAAGGACGAGCTATCATTGTCCATGGTATGCCGCATGGGAACCCATCTCAACACACTCATGTGGGCTAACACAATCAAGTATTGCATGATATCTCAGCACCCTATTGAAAAATAAGCCGATATCATTTGACAAGTATTGCAAAATGAATGTCAGACTTACAAATGATAATATGAGTAACAAATGTTGGTTGTTATTTTATTGATTTTGCTCATGGTAGACTAGTATGTATTGATGTCATTTGTGATTTAAGTAACTTGTTTTTGTAAATCGGTATGTAATAATATTAAGACCAATTAATTTTTTTGACAATAATTTTCGACAATTATAATATATAAAATGAATTATTATTTTTTATACAAAAATTATAACTATAGTATAAAATGACATGACTGATTATACTAAAAATTGATTGGTTATACAGCATATTCAAACAAATCAAATATAAAATTGATCAATTATTAACACGCTTGCCTTATTTATATATTTTGTCATGTATTAAATAGATAGTTTTGAGAATTACCACATGTTATATCTTATTCAAGATTATTATGTTAGGCTACATATCTTACCTATAGATTTCCTTTGCACAAAAGATCAAATCGATTAGCATATAAAAGTAATTGAATATATTATAGATAAACTTATTTACAAAATAAGATAAAATTTATTAGAATTAATAAATTTATAATAAACTTAAAACCCACTCTTATAAAATCAATCAATTAGATGACATTAACAAACTAAATTTTAATTAAAAAAATAACAAAATTTTTATTCCCCTACTTGCATAAATTTTTTTTTTTTATAAAATATTATATATTTTGTAATGAATTGCAAAATAGAAGGATCAATAAAATTTACTTTAATTATAATTTTACCGGGGTTTAAAGTCTAAATATCAGCAAGATAACATATAAATCATAATTATTATACGCATGAATTATATATAAATATAAAAATTAATAAATATATATTTAGAAAAATAAGGCTCATCTTGAGAAACATTTATGATCTCCGTCGATGTACTTATCATATTATCTATGAATCACAAAAACAAGGATGGTGTTTAATCCTTGTAATTTTAATAATAGAACTAAATAGTTAAATAAAAAATATTAATATTCGTGCGAGCAAATGATGTCGAAAAAGACAAGTAAAACATATATATACCTTGTTAAACTTGTCATCAACTTCATTATTCTTCATTCAACTTCACTTTGCGAAATCACTAGAAGATTGCTCCTCTTCATGATCGTTGTCGGCAATTTTTCGAGGAACATGCCTCATCTCCTTCAATTTTGCTTACCATACCTCTCGAAAATTCTTCTATATACAGAGAAAACACGAAACAAATAATTATGAATTTAATTAATAAATAAAATTTAACGAGAGTTAAAAGATAAAAAAAAAAAAATCCGTAAGATTAAAATTATTAATAAATAATATGATTGATTATTTTCTTACTTTTCTAACCCTGCGCCAAATAAAATATTATAGTAATTTTTATCATTTTTCTTTCTCGTAAACTATAAGTTTTGAGGTAAAAGTCAACATAATATTTACCACGTACCGAGCTTGAAAGCCCATTAAGCTGCATAACGCCTTGATCAATCTCCATATCTCCGCCTCTTTTAATAAAGCCACACGTTCGTAACCCCACGACGCTGCATCTGACCTCTGCCTGGATCGCAGCTCCAACTCAAACTGCTCCTTCCGGTCATCGGAGCTTCATCACAGGTCAATCCGGCTCCTTAATTCATATTTGGATTTCACTCATCATGTACATCCCTCTGTTTGCTTGCTGAGGAAATTGGAAAAATCGATTGTTTCTGAATTTTTTTCTCTTCTCCTAAGATTTGTACATTCCACTTCACGTTATTTGATTATCTGCACTTATCTAAAAAAACAAAATAGTACGAGTTTTTTTGTTTGAATTGATCCAAATCTGAAAGATTCTGCTTTTTTTTCTCCTGATTTTTGTGTATATCGATTTGTTCTGGAACTTTAAATGCTATATCTTGCTTTACTTGATCTTTACATTTAGTTAATGAATGGATCCAGTGGGGTAATCTTAATCTAGCCTTCATTGATAGCTCAAGTGTTGTTGGGTTAGACATTCTTGTAAGAATGCTTTCTCTCAAGATTGGGTTATAGTAAAGAGGTCTTAATAGGAACTCATGAAGGAAGACGTGCTTTCTTTATTTTTCATAGAAATGATCTTAAATAATTTCTCAAAAAAGGAAAAAGAGGATCCGAATAGAAGAAGAAAGAAAGAAGATTTATGTGTTTCGACTGGGTTGAAATTTTGAAACCCTACTTGTTGGAATATTTTGATTTTTGAGTTTCTTTCTTTCTCTTTTTTCCCTTTGGGTTACGTTTAGTTATGGCTTTGTTTATTGGTCTGACAAATGTTACTTCGTTTAGGTGCTTTTATCTGTTCTAGAATTTATTTCCTGGAATAGATGATCCAGTTATAGATATTTTCAGTGCTTGCTCATTCATGGTAAAACCTATTATGAGAATCCCTTGTATCTTTTGTGCTTCTTTTAGTTTAGGATGTGAAAAGTAATTGAAGTATTAGATGGATTCAAATAATAATCTTTGTATTTATCAAAAGGAACGAGCAAAAAATGACCTGAGTCAAGTATAGACCCCAGACCATGACCTTAATCATCATTTTGGATGAGAAGTCACCACTACAGTACTTTTTCAGTGTTTAGGCAGTATGAAACAGATATTTGTAGATTGGCCTATGGATAATTAGTGACATATATCCAGTTTATCCTGAACATCATTAGGTTAGTGAAAATCGAAAATCATAACTTTCTAGACGCATGATACCTCTTGGATGCTCCATGTTAATTCTTGTAAGTGTTAGCTATAATTTACAAGAACTCTTGTAGTGTATTAAAAGGTCATGTTTCATGATAGTATTAAAAGAGATTCTTACTGCTGAAGTGCACTATTTGTTTGATTCAGTTATTATGAGTCAATTTTATTAAATGTATATACAGTATTACTTAAGAATTTTTTTTTTGAAATAACAGTTTGACATAAGAATAAACTGACATTTGTATACTCTTAAAGTTATTGGTACTAGATTTATAACCCGTGCTGCACACGAATTATACAATTAAGTTACTTTTTAATTATAGCAAACTTTTAAATAAATGGTTAATATGCAACAAATTTTATCACAGTTGTGAGGATAATTTAAAAAATTTGTATGACATACGTCTCTAGTGGCTGCTAGTTCAAGAATATACATAGATATGTTGATACATATTCCTTCTACGTAGCACTTGGCTTCCCCTCCCTACTCCCCCCCCCCCCCCCCCCAGCAAAAAAAAAAAAAAAAAAAAAACAAGGGGTATCCAGGTTACCACATCCATATTCATGTTATCCAGGACATTTACGGGCATAAATAAGTATATTTTGGATTTTGTTCCTAAAGAAACACATTTTTTTCAGGGATCCTAGAGGAAAGAAGGAAGGACAAGGTGTGGAGGAACCAACAGGTTGCACGTTAAGCTCATTCCGTTAGTAGGGATTTAGGGTG